CCTCTTATAACAACCCTCACTCTAACTATAGTATGATGCAGATGGCACATTTCATCATTTATACTTTGCTGGGTAGTTCCTTTGTTTTCAGTAGCAGTCATGCACCACAACTTTTCCTTTCCATTTTCTTGCCTGCCAGATGAAGTTTTTTTTTTTCCTCTTTTCATGTGGATTGGCTTATCTACCTAAGAAGCCATGACACTTTATTCTAGCATAACATGGCACTGTTTCCTCAAAGTGTGACCAGTCATTAGAAGTATCACTCTGAAACGTGAATATTAATGCCCAAAAGAGATCAACCAGGAGCACTACAAATGGACAAGAACAGATTAGACATATACTGGTAACAGGATTAATAATTTACAAGTATGTCAGACACAGTAACACATCGTCTTGGTCGACAAGAATGACTATTAAAAAACTATACTGCCACAAGCACCACCAGTGGTTTTATTCAGTGGCATCAGCCTGATGCCCAGAACTAGCCAGTAATAAAACTACTTTCAAGGAATGAAAATCTGAAGTAAATATGAAAGTTGCACTGGGTGAATGCTGCAGCCATCAAGCAGTTGCACTTAAGAGAGAAGAAGACTTTATAATCCAAAAGAGAATTTTCCAGCAATAAAGTATGAATGAATGCTGAAGTTGACCAAAGTTCATAATAAATTATATTATTTTAATATAATTTTGTGTTTAAAGACATTCTAACTGCAGCTGCATACTGCAACTGTTTAAAAGTGCTGCCCAACAGCCCCTTTATGAGTCAGGCAATGTACATAAAGGTATGCTCAGGGAAAAATAAACCACCCCATATTTGGAATACTTTTTGTCTCAATGGCTGGAAAAAGTAATTTACCCAAGAGAGTAAATAAATGAATGTATCAATCCCACTGATTCAACTTCTTTTCTCCAGTTAATTTGAGTTTGCAAAAAAAAAACAAACTGCCTAATGACATTATCTTGTGACTGTAGAGCTACTCATGTTGACGACGTGCAAAGGACACAAACAGTCCTTCTTGGTCATATGTTTAAAAAACCCTGAACTGAGAACGATTTGAAGAGCTACTTCTTAAAATTTCTTCTACTAAAGATAGGTACTTCTGCCTAATATATTCTGTGCCTGACACTTTCTGCAACACTAAGCAGTACTTTTTTGCTGAAAAGGATGCAAGCTGAAATTATTAAAAAAAAAAAAGAGAGCCCAAAGTCTCCCTATTTTTTGATTAATGCTAATTTTATTTAGCATTTTACTTGTTCCCACAGCCCAAGAATTCACTTTTCTGTTGACTTAGTTTGTAGTGTTTCTATGTGTTTTCAGAAGAGACATACCTCTCCTGCGCCATCCTAGAGCCAGCCTGGCTTTGACATGGCAGTCATTGCCTACAGACCTAAGCGCAAGTTTCTGAACAAAGTTCCCAACACTCCACCTTCCCCCTTTTAACTTGAATTCAGTAAGTAATTTTAGGTGGGTGAATTGTGTCATGAAAACGGGAGTCTCTTTATTCATTGTTTTTTAAAAGCTATGTAATTCTTGCCCTGCCTTTACTTGCTTTATATTAAATATTCACTAGAAATACGTGGGAAAGTTGCACATACATAGTAACTGTTCTTTTTGCTCTGGAGACAAAATTGTTACTTACTCAGTTAAAACTATTACTGATTTTTTGCCAAATGAGTAACTGCAACCTGACTTGGTCACAGTGGCTCCATCCTTCTCCTCATGAATCTCCTATTGCACAATGTGTCTCCTGACTGTGCCTCTTGCCCCTCCAGACTTTCATCTACTTGGACCATTAGGCTCTCTAGGACTACATAAGAAGGGTTCAGTATAAATTTTGACTGGAGCTGCAAGGCAAACTATCAAATAGTAAAGCAGAACAATTATAAAATTAATCTCAGAAGGATCTTCTCCTATTCCTCTCCTACACAGGCAATTGGAGAGAAAGGAAGAGGATGAAGAAGCAAGCTCTCAAGAGCAACTCAGCCAGGACAGATAATAAACCTGCATTTACCCTGAGAAAGCAGGGTGCACGTTCAGTCCTATGTGTGTATTTCTAAAGAGCATGAAATATCAAATATTCTTCCTGAAGAATAATTCTCTCTCTATTCTGTTTCCACATTCCTATGTAACTATCCAATAAATATTATCCTGCTCACATGCTTCTGTTTACTTAGGATACATTATGTTTGATGTAGTCTGGCAGCATAAATTTTAGTTCTGTCATCTTAAAATACTAATACTTGTCAATCAAAATAGAAAGTACCTAATAAAAATGTTCTAGAAACTAATAGCCCTATATTCCTACACTCCACTTGGAGCTAAGCATTGCTAAAAATGAGATTAATTACATGTTTATACAGCGCCCAGTACAATCAGACCTCTAACCAACATTTTCCTAGTAGGCTATATACATAGTAATATATATGTACTGTGTATATATTATGCAATATATGCAATGCTAAATTAATACTATCACAGTCTTTTGATGTACAAAAGAGTTTTTCAGGAAAAAAAAACCTCACAACTTGCCCAGTGACACAGTGTTAGGTAGAGAATGAAAGAAAAGGGCATGGTCAATATCAGAGTAATTTATGATGACTTTCTGCAGATGTTCAGGAGCATGGAAGCACTGAGGATATACATACAGGACAGGTCCCTTCAGTTATGACCAACATAACCGGGTAAACTGGTCAACTTAAGAAAGTGTCAGAAAAATATCCTCTGAATTCTCGCTGTAGGAACTTCACTGCTTGGTACATTTAAACCTTCTATGGACAAAGTATTAGCAAATGCCCTGTAGGGAACAATCCTGTAATGTCAAGAAGATGGACTAGATGTATAACTGGTCTTTTTCTGCTTCAACTTTTATTATTCTAATCCATCACCCCTACCAAAGTGGCAAAGTTTTACATAGACCTTTAAAATTATGGCCATTAGAAAATGATGTCTGTGACTGCATAATATATACACATATGGATGTAAGGTCTGGTTTTTGAAAAACCAAAGTGCAAAACCAAATTCTGCACCTAATTTGCCCATGCTACAGCTGTAACTATTCATTAATCTAGCAAGTGAGACAGAAATTTCTAATTACAGTTATCTGAATGCAGGATTTACAGGCATAAATGTGACAAGTGAACTTGCAATGTAAGCATACAGTAACTTAAACATGTTTACTGTTGACAACATAGTAGTATTGTACTGTAACATGCTTATGCCACAAAACCAGGATCAGTCTGTGAGCTTTTCCCCAAAACAGAAAATTAGAAATCCTGCAAGGTAGACAACAAGTTGACATCAAAGCCTGCGAAAGCAGCAAAGGAAAAGTCCCACAAGGAGCTCTAAACAAAACCCTTCCATCAGGGATTCTCAAGGAAAAGATGAAAAGTTTTACTTGGCTCCCTTCTGCCCAAACCACTATGGTATTCCTCGTTTTTCTTTGCCTCTGTGTTTCAGGTAGGCCAGAACTCCCTATCACTCTTTCTAAAACCTGAAGTCCACAGAGGATTTTGTACTGACAATTTACTAGCAGTAAAAGTCACTCAAAGCAATGGCTGCAGAAAGCTCCTTTGTTCCCCAGGCACAGGATGGCAGAACTGTCCAAGATGTGTTTAAGGAGGAAGATAAAGGCTTCACATCATCCATGTATATTATTGTTATTTCTGTTACTCCAGAATGGAAATCCTCTTATTGAGTAAGGCACCAGGCAGTCATGCCCATATGAGTGCCAATAACAAGATCCATTGCCTACTCATTTCACTAGGAAAGAAAAACAATGAAAGGGTATGGAGAAAAGGTGTTTTCCTTTTAATTCTTTAGACTGTAATAGTTATAATTGGCTTTTCTCTACAGTTTGGCCTCAGTTTTTCATAGTGTTACAGTGAGAAACAACAGTCTGCAGTGATTTTTATACACAGAACTTAATGACTTCAATTGCTGCTAAGGATGCAGAATGGTGGTAGGATATGGCCATACACCATTAAGGTCCTAAAGCCTTCATAATTACTGGGTATACAGAATATTTATTATAAAGACCATGCCAGGCCTCTTTTGTGAGCTGCCCTGGGCCTGTTCTCTGAGCCACTTCAAGCAAGAAGTTTAAATGAAACTGCTCCCAAGTTTCTGAAATGGTTTAATAAAACATATACTGACTGTAATATTCAGTTTATAGTAGAAAACTATTGCCCCTTCGTTTGAAAAATGACCTCTAGTTGGCAATTTTACTCTCAGCTTCATAGATTATAGTCCGCTGTTGGTCATTTTCTCAATCCACAGGGCAATACTTTTCCATAACAAGCTCAAACTGCAATCAGTATTTGTAGTCTGTTACACAAGTTGAGGATAATATGTCTCAACACATTCTACTATATGACTAAACAAAAGAAATAACAACCTGGTGACACAGACATATGGAGCAAAGCAGTACTGTTCTAATGCTGAGAGAGCAGAAAAACATATTTATTTATATTGTGCTAATTTAAATTAAATGTCTTCAGTACACAATAATTTCTAATTTGATTTTTTCATTAATAGTGTTTTGGTTTATGTTATCTTATGTGTTTTCTTATTTTTATGTAAAATGGCAAATACTCAGATTTGAGAAATGACAGATAATGACAGATAGCCTAACATTCTAAAATCACCTTAAAATATGTTCACATAGATATCTTAAAGATCATTTGCTCTTGGGCACACAACACACAGTTGTAAACTTATAGGCTTGATACTAGGAAATTCTAATACAGTTTAGTAGAGAAATTATTTCAGCACACAGTTCTCCTACGTAACTATGAGATGGAATACCACACTTTGGAAAAACAGTTCCCATATTAGATGATCAAATAGGTACACACTGTCAAGGAGAAGTTGTAGACCAGGAAGTGAGGGAGACCTGGAGTCTGTTCCTAGATGTGCCCTAGATAGCTCTGCCAGTGATGTTAACATCCTCCCTCCTTCCCATGCTGCAGCTACACAGCCCTGAGGGGCCAGCACAACTTACCTAGATGGCTGGAATGTTGCAAGGCTTAATTCTTTAACCGGTGGATGATGAAAGTTCTTGTTGATCTTTTACTGTAAATGCAAAATATTTATCATTACAAGACTAGTATTCATCCCCATCTGTAAATAAAACTGTGATTAAAATATGACAGTCGCCCACACTGAGAGCCAAAAGGAACTTCCTAAGCTGGACTACTGAAATCAAACAGAAGGGGACATTTTGCCATGCTTCCTCTAGAAATGATGAGATCCCTATCCTCTAAAGAGATACACCATAATTGTTTGGGATCTGTGATGACTGAAAACTATATTAAGACCCATAAGAGAAAAAGGTTCCTAGCAGGTCTGAAAGGACAGCTTCAGAAGCTATACTCGTCTCTTAATACTGTACTTTGAGCTATTTTTTTTTTCTTCATTCATTTTCCACGCTGTTCCTATATTGTTGCTCAGTCTCAGTTTCACCTACCATCTCCAGCTGGAACTTGAGTGAACTGGATTCATTTAAACACACAGGCACTGCATCCATAAGCTTCAGAACATTTGAGCTAGGGAATGTATTTGTAATGTGATCACTAGAAGATGATGGCTCTTTATCTTACAAGTCTTCAAGGAATTTAGATGTCCAGCTCACTAATAGTGTTCGGGACCTAGGCTTTCACATTTTTATGGTTCTGGAAGAAACAATTTCTAATGCAGAAAGAAGCAGTGCTTTTTTTTTTCCACCCCCACATTTTTCATTTTAGTGTAATAAAAGTGGCACATATGTCCCATAGCGTAATGGATTAATTAAGGAATATGATGTTTATCCTAGGTCCTGAGTTGTACATCTTCATAACTCACTCATAAAAATTAATGTGTTATATCACGCTCGAGAATGATATATCTATTTTTACCATACCTGTTGAGAATAAATTGTTCTAAATTGGATTATCCTGATATCCAGTGAGAAATGTAAAAATTACATTGTTATTTTAAGAATTTACATTGCTGTGTATAAAAAACCATAATCTTCTCAGTGTGCTTTTGAACTGTCATGTTACTCCCACTGTTATGGAACCATAATTGCTGCTGCCACACCTAAAATCAAATGCAATGCATATTGTATTTCTTCATACACTGTGCATTTCCTACCTTAAGCACAAAACTATATACAGTAGAATTTAGGACTATTCTTTCATTACTGACTGCTTTTTTATATAAGCAATACACAAGTATGTGTGCAAGGAATCAAAATCCTCATTTCTAAAATCAACAGATGAGAAATCCCTAAATAATATGTACAGATGTTTCATATTTAAATGAGCTGTTGGCATTTAATGCTGCCAATCATAAATGCAATAAAATTGGTAAATTTCAAGGTGCTCAGCAGTTACAATAGATTATTTTAATTTCTTTAAAATCAAAATATAATTTTAGAATGACAGAAAAATTGTCAAATAAATATATATTTTTGATGTAATCTTGAAATTCCTGAGTGGTCAACTACACTGTATTGCTCCATACCAATTCCTAGTCCTTTTACCGCAAGAAAGTTGATTCTGTTGTTCTTAAGCTGCAATGCCTCACTACAACTAAATTATCTGCATGTTATCTGCAGAGTAATCCTCTGCTTGAATACAAGACAGAATATCAGAGTTTCTAATCCTACACAGATAGAGTAATTCACATCCACTGTATGTTTTACTGTAAAGACAGAGTAATACAATACGTTTGATAAATCATGTATGCGTCTGTGTACAAAGAAAAAGGTTTCTCTCTTTTCCTACAAGATGCATCTGTATTAAAACACACACACACTCCTTATGCTGGCACTGCAAAATCTTTAAAAGTTCTAGAATAGAGACATCTAAGTTTAAAAAAATGAAGCAGCTCACAGGTCAAACAAGCTCCTGATCAGAAGTGCTTAACCAGAAATACTATTTCAGTGATTGTAAGTTTTCATCCATACATCAAACTCTAGTCTATTGATTAAATAAAACTGATCTTTTTTTATTTCAAAGCAAAAGAGAATTAAATCATCCCTGTTGTTTTTCTTTTATTTAGAACTTTCACATTGTACACACTGGCCATGTATCCTGCTTATAATTACAACGTCCTTAAGGAGACCTTATTCTGTGATGACTGACCACAGGTTTCTTGCCTCTTCCTCTAAATCTTCTGCTCCTGATCATAATCAAGGGCAGTTGATGGCCAGATATTTTGATCCACTATGGCAAGTGATTTGATTCAAGGTCTGCCAAAACTCAGGAAATTGCTTCAGGAAACTTTGGATCAGGACAACTTTATATGTAAATACAAGAAGTTACTGCAGTTATGCTGGCACATCTTTCCTTTCCCCTACCTCTTTTTCACTGCAGAATTAGCTGCATCAAGTCTTAATTTTGCTTGCAACCCTACATAAAGAAATCCAGTCCAGGCAGCCCTTGCAAAGCTTTACCGAAGTCAAGGTCTGTTGGCCTAGAAAGCAGAGGGTCTCTTTCAGCAAAACATCTCAAAACACTACATATCTGGATATTGCTGAGGCCAAATTAGCATTGACTGGGCTGTGATGATACCAGCATAGCATGAACATGTAACAGATTGCTAATGATGCCTTTGAAGGGCACCAAGAAGTGGACACAGATCTTCCTGAAATTGAATTTTGTGTTTTGTTTTTTTTTTTTTTTTCTTACGCAAAAATCATGGAATCCCAAACTGGTTTGGGTTAGAAGGAGCCTTAAAGCTCATCCAATTCCAACCCTCTGCCACAGGCAGGGACAACTTCCGCTAGAGCAGGTTACTCCAAGCCGCATCCAACCTGGCCTTGAACACTGCCAGGGATGGGACAGCCACAGCTTCTCTGGGCAACCTGTGCCAGTGCCTTACTACCCTCACAGGGAAGAAATTCTTCCTAATATCTAATCTAAATCTACCCTTTGACAGTTTAAAGCCATACCCTCTTGTCCTGTCAGTACATGTCCCTATTTGCTTAAAGGCTCCCTTGGCCTCCTATCTCCCCAAGTCAGCCTTCAGCCTGGTTCCAGTCCACCTGCACAGTGCTGCTCCATGCTGTGCAAACATGCTCTAACACTCAACACACACTTTAACGAGGCCAGAAATCTCTGTTATCAGGGATGCAGTTCTATTCTGGAAGGTGATCACTGCTAGGTTAAAATGACAGAACCCAAATTCACGCATACATTTCATCCCACGCTAAGAAATGTACAAACACATGCAAAACTCAATTCTGTTCCTGTATACCCACATCTTTTAGTAAATTGTATAAAGTATCCTGAATTTCTTTTATTAAAGTCAAGGAATTTTTAATATACTTTGAATCTTCTTTAAATTAGCATCACAGTCTAGGGTAAGTGCATAATTAGTAATTAATTAACAAAGAAGGAATTTATTATCTGTTTGTTATTTTAGTTACCAGTTTGTTATTGAGTTGCAGAAATACAGGACAATAAGTAAATACAGACATCTGTACCAGTTAAGAAGTCTGCAGTTTGGCCATGTTCTTCAGTCCTTCAATTTTTTGAAATCATTAACTCAGCACCAGCAGAGCAAAGATGAGAACCTTGCTTCTGCTAAGTAGCACTAATTTCAGCCCATAGTGACATTCAGAACAGGATCAATCAAATCACAGGGGTAAGGAAACTGTTTGCTTATGATGTGGCTGTCAGGAGTGAAGAGGAGTTTGTAACACCCTCCAAGGATCAAGACACACACAAAAAGCATTAAAAAAATAAACCCAACAGATACTCTTGCAAAATGTATCAATGCTGTATCAATGCAGTTCTCCAGACTGAAAGTGCTGAAGTCAGAAGATCAAGAACTCACAGTTAGGATTTTCCTATTAGTTAAAGAACATAAGGATTCTCCTAAAGTCTTTGACTGATATATTATCTTTTCTTTCTTTTCAGGCAGATAAGCTGTCCAGTGAACTAGAAGAAATAGCCCTGAAGACAGCTTTGTGTCTAATACAACTGTGAGAGGGAAAATTATCCCAATGATATATGCTTTACATGGAACATGTAAAAAGAAAAAAAAAAATGTATTCCATGAAAGAATTCTTTCTATCTGGGCAAGCAATTCCTATTATCATTTAGGAGGTGTGGGTGTGGGGTCAGTGCCTGACACCAGATTGACAAGCCATGTCCCTCAGAATTGAATTTGGGGTGAACCTAAAAGGAGACAATAGGTACTTTTAAGAGAAGGGCAACTGGGCAAACAGTGAGACATACATCAGATTTTCTGAAGGGTGTCAGGACATGGTGACCTGGGATATATTGTAACTTCCCTTATTATTCTTTGTAAGGAAATTCTTTACGAAATGTGAAACACATCCCATTGTGACACTTCAGAGTATGGATGGGCACTGATGGCCACTGTCTGTCGTGGTTTAAGACCAGATGATAACTCAGAACCAAGCAGCTGCTCACTCACTCCCCCCTCCTCTTCCCTCCACAAGCCTGGCAGGATGGGGAGGAGAATTGAAAGCATGTAAACCCCATGGGTTGAGATAACAGCAGTCCAGTAACTAAGGTATAACACAAAACTACTACCACTACTACTAATGATAAGGGAAATAACAAGTGAGAGAATATAAAACTAAAAAGGTAAGGGGAAAAGCCAGTAACAACCAGCAGTGATGCACAGTACAATTGCTTTCCACCTGCTGATACCCAGCCCCTCCCAAGCAGCAATCTGGGCTCTCTGCGTGACTAATCCCCGAGTTTGTGTACTGGGCATGACATGCTTTGGTATGGAATACTCCTTTGGCCAGTTTGGGACAGGTGTTTTATCCTAGCTTCTTGTGCCCCTCCTCACTGGCAGAGCATGAGGCTGAAAAGTCCTTGATTGGAGTAAACATTACTTAGCAACAACTAAAAAACTAGTGTGTTACCAGCATTGTCTTCAAACTAAAGCCAAAACAGCCCTGCACCAGCTACGAGGAAGGAGAAAAATCACTGCTACAGCTGAACCCAGGACATTGTCATACACAGCCAGCAAAAAGAAGAGTAATTACAACCATACTTCCCATGAAGTAACCAAATCAACTGTAACACCGAGTGGCAAGCAGTACATCA